GGGGAGATGGAAGAAGGCTATAGAGGCCCTCTCTCTATTATTTTTGACAACAGCATGAAAATCTACAATTATTTCAAAATAAAAGACCTCCCCAAGTGCAGACAGAATCCAGCCTTGGGCCAAAGGTGCGGAAACTCTCCTAAAAATGGGGCTCCCTGAGAGCACGGCTCCCTCCTCCACCAGGGCTTCTCCTGCAGGGCCAGGAAGCACCTCCCTGCGATGCAGGCTCCCACCCTCCTGCAGCTGGCAGTACCTGGTGAGCAGGATGGCAGTGTCATGGTGCAGGGGGTGGGCGTCCCCCTTCATGTTGATGCTTTTCTGCCACTTGCAAAAGCTCTTCAGGGTGTTGTCTGCATGGTGTGTGATCTTTAGGTCCTCCTGGGGGCAGAGAGAATGACCGCTCATGCCTCCCCTGAGTTCTGAGAGGGTCAGGCCCAATTCTCCTCCATATAAAGGCAGGAGACAGAGGCCCAGCAGGGCAGTGGGAGGCCCGCAGGCACCAGTCCAGCTTCTGGCCTGACCACCCCTCCTGTAGAAACCTCCTGCAGAGGACCTGGGACCTGAGAGAAGGTCAGTCAGGAACCAGGGGTTGGCAGGGGACACGGTCCAGGCCAAGGAGGCCTTCACTGTGCCCTTCCATACAGAGCAGCACAGGTCATAGTGCAGGAGGGCTCTGGCAGCCGAAGTCATTGCTGGGCAGCGTGGGACCACATGAACTCTCACCTCTTCATCTTCCAGAAGGACCAGGCGCACAATGGTGATGTGGATGGGGTTCCCAATACTGGGGTCATGAAACAGGCCAGCCACCTGCCCAAGAGATGGGGGGGTCAGGCTGTCACCAGGATGAAGGATACAAGCAGCCAATGCTCACCCCAACCCACCCACCCACCCAGGGCAACGCACACCCATGCTCACACACAGGGACGCTGACACGGGTACACAGGCTGCACAGCGGAGAGGTGATGCACGTACACGAATGCATGAGTGTCCTCACACCTCACACACACTGCCCCAACCCGGCAGCAGCAGAACCTGGAGAGGACAAGAGGCCTCCGAGGCCCCTTCCCAGAGTTGCAGCCTCTCTTGAGCACCACTTTGGGATCTGCTTCCAAGTACCAACTCCATGCCCACCCAGCACAGGCAACGGCAGTTAAGACCTCCAAATGCTGGTTTCTTGGCCTGTCTCAGGGCCCTAGTCCTCCAACTGCCCCTGGTCTATGACAGCAGTGCCCTCCTGACCTGGGGATGCCAGGACCAGCATCTCAGGAGTGTGCCCTCCAATGAAGCGTAGACCTGGGCAGGGCCCAGAGAGTAGAGTGAGGGTAGGCACAGGGCTATGGAGCCTCCCCACTGCTCTACTATTCCATCTCCCCAGGACTGGCAGCCATGGGGCCAAGGAGGCAGGTATGCACATCTATCAGAGTCCCCATGGCTACATGGGGCTCCCTACTGAGCCCCAGGAGACGGGGCTATCCCCAAAAGATGGAAGATAAGCCAAGGTGAGGGGAAATGGGTGGGGAAAGCCATCTGCTCTTTTAAAATTAAAACTCCCTCAGAACAAAAAAGAGGCCAGCCCATGACTGGGGATAGCTGGCCGGTTCCCAGAGGGCAGAGATGGCAGAACAGGCCAGTTGTGAGTTGGCTTCTAGCAATGCATCAAGAAAAATAATATTAAAATAGGAAGGGACCAAACAAACACTGTTAAGAGGGCACCAAAGCCCCTGATTATGGGGATGAATGACACTCTCAGAACCCAAGGTCAGAAATGGGGAAGATAAACAGCAATATCATGGACCACCGTCACCTTCACACACAAGCTGGGAGCCTGGGAGCCCTGAACCATCTTTCTCCAATACAGCCAACCAATTTTGCCTCCCAAGTTTTGCCTGACTCTGTCTCTTCTCTCCATCTCCAACACCACTGCCTCGTCCAAGTTGCCATCATCATCTCATCTGCTCAGCTGTTGAGGTCTCCTATGAGTGTACCCATATTCTGTAGCCCTTCCAGGCCACCTGCAGCCTAGTGGCTCCACCATCGGTCTTTGAAATGCAAACCCAATCATGACACGCCCTTGCCTAAAGCAGTAAGTGGCTCTTCACTGTCCAGGAAAAGGATGGAAGTCCCCAGCCTAGCCAACAGGCCTCTTGGATCTGGTCCCTGCCTTCCTCTCTGACCTCCCCTTGCCTCCCTCTCACTCTCTGGCTCCAACCACTCTGTCTTTCTGTTAGAATCCCATAATTCTTCCTAACACAAGGTCTTTGCAGATGCTATGGCCTCAGCCTGGAACATCTTCCCACCTGTCTTCCCCAAGTTACCTCCTATCCTCTCTCCTGCCCTCAACCCCTCGTCATGTCCTTTGGGGAGCTTTTATTTGATCTAACACTCCCAAAGCACTATGAATTTGTCCTTCCTAGCACCTCCCTCCATTGCTCCTTCATCGTCAACAAGGTAATGGTTTCATTAACTAATGTCTATCTCCCTCAAGAGACCACAAGCTCCATGAGGACACGGCCAGGTATATGTAAACTTCCTCTTAGAGCCCCAGTGACATGTCTTGTACCTGGAACATGATGGGCACTCAAGACATAGTTGTTGAATGAATGAATGTACCTTGGGTACTTGCTCAATATTTCCAATGTATTATCTCATTAAAAATAAACAGTGGAGGTTGGGTGTGGTGGCTCATGCCTGTAACTCCATACTTTGGGAGGCCAAGGCAGGTGCATCACCTGAGGTCAGGAGTTCGAGACCAGCCTGGCCAAATGGTGAAACCCATCTCTACTAAAAATACAAAAATTAGCTCGGCGTAGTAGCACATGCCTGTAATCCCGGCTACCTGGGAGGCTGAGGCAGGAGAATCACTGGAACCCAGGAAGGCAGAGGCTGCAGTGAGCTGCGATTTCACCACTGCACTCCGACCTGGGTGACAGAGCAGGACTCCATCTCCAAAAGAAAGAAAAGGAAGGAAGGAAGAAATGAAAGAAGGAAGGAAGGAAGGAAGGAAGGAAGGAAGGAAGGAAGGAAGGAA